CAAATTTATTGTCTTTATTTATTGGCTTTTTATAAAATTTTAAGCGATATTAAAATGTTTATGCCTTCAAAAAAAGAATTCTTAGAACTAAAATTTTTTTAATATTTTTTATGTGTATGTTGTCGCCAATAAAGTCTGCTTGGCGAGATTTGCGCCGTCGAAACGGAAAAGTACCAAATAATGTTTTTGTGTACTTTTTTATGTTGAAATAATATAAAATATAAGAAATGAACCAATACCAAAGTATTGCGTATGTGGATGAATCTTCGGATTATGGTAATGTGGCGATTTTTTGGCAAAAATTTGGCGACCAACCCTGCTACAGCAGCCTGCTAGTTTTTTTTTTTTTGAAGCTATTTTGTTTTTACGAAGTCAAGGCTTTTTTTTTTACTCAACGTTTTTTCCAACAATTTGCTAGCTGAATTACGCTTATGCTAGAACTTTTATGAAACAAAAGTGCTTAATCCAGGGTTCGTACGGTCCTTAAGAGTCCTTAAAAGTCCGTAAGTTTTTTGGAATCGATTTTTGGCCCTTAAAAGTCCTTAATTTTGGCCAAAATCGGCAGAAGGTCCTTAATTTTAATCCTGTGAAATTTCTATCTGTTTTTACGACTGCCATTTTGAGTGTGAATTAGCAGTTTGGAGGTATATTTTTGACGGTTTACTGATAAATATGGTTATTTGAATGGGTTATGATTTGTTCCTATTTCTAATATAAATAGTGGGATACTAGAATTTCTGAGCAAGAAGTGAAACAAGTATTTCGAAATTATTTCACTTTTTCTAATGAAGAGCTCTTAAACAACTTTTCGCATTTGGGGATGTGAAATTCTTTTATTGAACGGCTCCAAATTTGGCGACTTATCAACATTTTGTTGATTTTTAAGATCAGTTTCTATAGAAAATTTTATTTTCCATGGTTTGAGAATTTTTCGACGATTTTTTTTTAAACATTCCAGCATTGATAAATATCATTAAAATTATGGTAATATATTGAAATTATATTTAAAAAATAACATATTGATTAAAAATATCTTCTTTTTAATTTTTTCATGATAAGCGTTTTCTCATGTAATTGTCTCAGAGTGTTCAGAATTCTCAGAATATGCATCAGTTTTCTCTATAAAATTAATTTCACACTTTTTCCATCTGATTTTTTTAAAAAATATTTCTGGCTGTTTGCTGTTACAAAATTGGTAGGCGTAATTTTTCTTCCGGACATTAGACATTGCAACTTGGAAAATTTAGAAGGTTGAAAGCAAGATTTATAGACCCACCATTCCAGAAGATTTTAGAAAATTGTGAGAAAATGAAAAATGTCTCTATGGTATTAACATGTAATGGATGTATTTTGCAGAAAGTTTGCAATGAATTTCTTACTTTTTGGAGAACATCTGGAGAACAATGAAAACATAATATCTGAATGCTTTACTTCTGATTCTAGAATCTTTTTCTTAACATGCTTATCTTCCCTTTATTTTCTCTACTTTTCACTAGACACAAGTAGGAAAAATATTAAAAATGCTTCTAATCTTATCACATAGACAGGCATTATAGAAAGGAATTTTTTTATTAACAAAGAAAATGAAAACTGGCAATTTAAAAGATTTATCTAATACGTCTTAATGCATCATACACAGGTCTGACGCTAGGCATTTTCCCACTTGGTGCAATCACATGGAATATTAAACTTATCTCTGTAGATCCTAAATTTTGCTGACTAGTGCCTTTCTAAACTCTGCTTCCAGTGCCTGCTCTAAATTCTAAAAGTTTTGCCATTTCTACATTTTGTTGCTCAATGTATCACTAAATTCTAAAAATTCTGCCACACTAACTCTGTAACCTGCCCTTACCATATATATTTCCTATTTCTCCTGAATGTTCATATTACTAAAGAAATAAAATTAGCAACTTAGAAACTGAGTACATACAGAGAAAGAAAATTATTCTTCAAATATATATATATATATAGGTATTATGATGTAAATTACCCAGTTGTTTATAATTTCAGCCTTTACTATAATTTCCCTTTTCTATTTCCTCCCCAGAATGCAAATCACTTAGGCAGTTTTTAAACTGAGGTTTTTGGTGTGCAAGACAGAAATGTGTTTTTAATCTCCGCTTGCTTGTTGCATTAGTTCCTGCCAGCTCTGATAATTTGCAACTTTTTGTCTTTGCATTATCGCTGCTGACATTTGAATTTGTTATGACGATAGAGTTACTGAGCCAGCTTAAATTAAAATTAAATTGTTTAGTCTTTGACCACTAGTCCGCATTTTTTTGTTTGAATTTGATTGTTCTTGTTTAATTACATGACCGCAAACTGCAATTGAATTGGTTAGCATAAGAACACGCCTTTAAGTTCTTTTTAAATAAGAGGCTTATTTAAATGTTTATCTGACTTTATAGTTACTTTGAGACATAGCGATAACTTGCTTCATGTCTGTCGGGAGTTTTTGGACTATTTAACTTTTACCAAATTAATTTAAACCCTCATAGGTACATTGTGGAGAGGTTGATAACTTAGGAGATAAAGTATGCAGAAACTAGTCAGAACATTGGTTTGTGTATTCAAACAGATTTTTAATTGTTAGGAAAGATGTTTAAAGAGAAAAAAAATGATATAAATTAAGCCAAAATGTCTGGGAAGGCTTCAAATTAAAAAAGATGCATAAATATTTTGTTGAGTGTTGTTGCTATCATAAATGTTTTGTAGCTTTTAATGTATAATTATCCTAATATCGTTTAAGAATCATGACATAAATTTTATGTATTTTAAAGTGTGAAATTTTATTAGATTGGGATTTTAATTGGGACTGTTAACAATATTGTTAAAAAATAAGTAAAATTTAATAGTAATCATGTAAATCCATACTGACTAAGGTTTTCTAACTATATAATTTAATTCATAACTAACTGCTTACTCTTAAAAATTATCTCTGCATAATGAAGTGAGTTATTGCCTTTCATTATTCCTTAGCGTGGCACAAGGTTTAAACACAAAAATGTAAAAATTCATGTAAAACTTATTCTTAGTATCTAGTGAGACCTAAAATAATACAAAGCAACTTAGTGTCATCTCTGGTGCTTTAGTGGCTTATTGGAACCTTGGTATATTAACTTGGTTACAACCCCTGGAACTCTACACGGAGCTACGACACTAACCGCAACAGACAGAGCCCAACTAACTTTCAAAAGTAGTTAACCGTGCCCACATTAGGCCTCTCAATTTTGTTCTGATCAGCAGGTCTCTCTCTAGGTAAGGAGCAGCAGTGACAACAGCCAGTCTTTTGTTATGAATCGTGCTGATTATGATTTTAAAGCTCTTTTTAACCTATGCTGCTTGACATAAAATCTACTTACTATTAACTAAACCTCTAGACTGAACAAGTATGTGACAAAGTTAGACATTAAAAATAAAAAAAGCTGTTAGTAAAACTTAACTAAAATGTAACTTATCTTCTTTCAAATATGTCCAGTTATATTATAAGTGTAAAATATTTAATGATACTTGAACACAAAACACAAAAATATAAAAATTCATGTAAAAGTTATTCTTCGCATCTGGTGAAATTTAAAATAAAAAACAACTTATCACCTCTAGTGCTTTAGTGGCTTAATAGAACCTTAAAGTATATTAACCGAGTTACAACTCCTGGAACTCTACACGAAGCTATGACACTAACGACGTCAGACAGAGCTCAGCTAACTTTCAAAACTTACTAACTGTGCCTACAGGTTTGTTCTGATCAGCAGGTCTCTCTCTAGGCAAGCAGGAGCGGTGACAACAGCCAGTCTTTTTTTATGAATCATTCTGATTATGATTTTACTTCTCATTTTAAACTATGACACTTGACATAAAATCTACCTGCTATTTACTAAACCTCTAGATTGAGCAAGTAATGAGACATAAAAAAAAAATTAACATGAAACTAACTATTAGTAAAATGTAAATAAACTGTTACTTATGTTCTTTCAAATATACTGAACTATTGTAAGTCTAAAATATTTAATGTTGTTTGATAAATTTCATAAAGTATATTTTATGCTTAAACTAATTAATAATTAAGTTATGTTTAATAATAATGCATCCTACTTACGGATCTATTTTGTTTTTTGCGTGGTATTACAAAAGTGAAGTTCAAGCACGGATAATATTTTAATTGAATTTATTAATTTGCTGTTTGCTCGTAGGTCCTTAATTTTTTCCAGTAATGGTCCTTAAAAGTACTTAATTTCCATGTGAAGAAATGTGTACGAACCCTGTTAATCATGACGAAGATTAGGTGCAAAATTGTTTCTAAGTGCGTATTAGCTAAAATCACAATCGGAATTTTCTGGAAAGTAGTGGAACAAACATGCACAGAAATTTGTTTTTACAGGACAAATTTATATATGAAACATGTAAATAATTTTTCTCATAAATTAGAAAATCTATTTATTGCTTATAGGGCCATGGGATCCAAATACTAAGCAACACTGTTTCACACAAGATCCAAGATGAAATGAAGCTGAAGATAAAAAATGGTATGAAGTGCTGTAGATATTTTTGCAAATTTCCCCTTCCTTTATGGATTAAAAAACCATAAATGTCACATGACATGTCTTATGATCTCTCATTTCTCTGAGACAAAATAATCTGTGATTGGAACTGTGTACTTCTCAGAATATTGCTAAAGTTCTAGCTAGTAACCTTTATCGCCTTACCAAAATGTTGCCAAACTACCTGTTACCATATTCCAAAGATTAGCCCGTATGTGTTGTTTGTTACTGAAAATAACTGAATAAAATGAGTCACTTAAAATTTTGATGTGTGGAGTTGAATAGACTTTGAAAAATTATTGGATAAATGATGAACAGTAATTCAAATTTTTATTTTCACTTAATTGTATGCTATGAATTGAATTAATAATTATAATTTAGTTGTTTACTTTTAGTATATGTATATATGTGTGTGTAAGATCATTTACATTAATGTTTTAGAGAAATGAGGACTGCAAGGGCAACTGTTTTGGAGAGGGGTTGTATTGTTTCTCATTGGCACAATATTCACTTTTGTTCTTACTTTGTTGCAAGCACAAAGACGTTTTTCATCTTTCAAGGACAGAAGATCTAATGAACAGTATTCTTTGCTCTAGATGGTGGTTACCTGTTATATGTGGATCTGGCTCTGGTACTGTGCTTTTTTCTTAAATGAATTTAATATAGCTTAATATATTTATTGTATGGATCTAGACTTGTTAAAATACTTTTGAAATATAATTATTACAGGAAGGGTTGTATAATAATACACCTAACAATAAAATTTGTAACAAACAAGCAGTAACTGTAGGACCAGTAAACAAATTTAGCAACTGTAGGATTGGTGTGTTTTGTTTAAACTTGTCATTGTTCTCAGAATTGTCTGTAAATTAAGTGTTTAGAGCTTATAAATGTAACAAAGTCCTCAAGGCTTATATTTAAATTTCTTACTTTAAGTCTTGAGTGATAATTTTTCAGCAGCTTAATGTGTGAAAATACTAGGCATATATGTTTATATTTTGTTTTAAAAAATTGTTTTGTAATTATGAAATTATATATATATACAGTCAAAAGTCGTTAATCCGGACTCGTCGGGACTTCGGCGATTCTGGATTATCGATTTTTCCAGATTATAGATCATCAGTTTAAATCTGATAAGATGGCATGCAAAAATTATAAAATTAAAAATATGAAACCGTAATTTATGAAATAAAGAACAATTATGATCTAAAGGGTATCAAAATTTACCAAAAAAAAAAGCTTAATATTTATTTGCTTACTTTATTAAACATTTCTTTCAATGTAAGTTGTTCAAGTTGCTTCGTTTTATGTGATAATACTTTCTCTTTAATTCTATAAACAGACATAATTTCTTGTTCAGTTACAAAGTTCCGCTGTTCAAGTACTATAATTGCTGTGTCGAGAATACCGACTAATTTGTCAATCGAAATTTTTTCGTTTTCAATAACTTTTGTGTCACTTTCTTCACTATCGGAAGCAAATTATAATGACGAGGAATTTGATTTAAATCATATCAAACACAGATTACATCGAGATGAAATATTACATTTAGTAAGGAATTATAAGCCAAATAAAATAAAAACATCTGCCCTGAAGATAAGGATAGTGCTGACAGATCAACTTCCAATTTGATGCAAAAGGCAAAGTTTAAAGTTGTAAAATTAAACATTTAGCAGCAGTAGCAATAGAAGCTCCCTAAGGTTATGTGCTATGCAGACATTGAAGACAAAAAAAATTTTTTTAAACTTAACCAATTTATTAACAATATATAAAAATAAAAATACAATGAATAAATTTAAACAATATCAGAAACTAAAAATTATAATATAACCACTATCAAAAATTTCATATATTAAATAATATTTTACCTGATCTCCAAAACACTGGCATTCAATACGCAAAAAACATATCCTAAACAGAAATTATGCAGTTTTAATGAAATTGGCTACACTGTCAATAAGTCCATGCTTCAAGGTCAAGAGGGCACCTGAAAATTAAATCCTTAAGAGCACTTAAAACTGGCCTAACGCCGCTCACTGTAGTTAAACACGAGGAATCACAGCTTAGGAAAACATCGTCGCTAACTTATGTTAAATGCCGCCTTCATGAAGAACATGGATGCCACCCACAGCAGTCACTCACATCATAGCCTCTTTTGAGAATCCAGGAAAAGTCATCTTGTAGACTGGAACCACGGCACTTATCACCAGACTGCACGCATCACAAGACGTCTTCCAATAAGGGCTGGAAACTGCACACCAAGGAGCCAAGAAAACAGGAACTAGAAGGCATGAGCCAGAGCGACGCGAGATACTTATACCAGAAGTAGGCATGATGTCATCTCACTGCAACCAATCAGCTATCGGCACGACTCGGCTTTCCAGATGACGTAACATCAAGTTTCGTTTTTGCATCTTAATTAGGCTGAAACAGTCCGTTCTTAATAAAAACAGTGGCAGGGAAAAATGAAGTAGAGGTAACTACTATATCCCTTTAAAAATAAGAAGTAAACTAGATGTTCTATATATAACTTGTGTAAAAGTTAGAATCATTTCAAGGAGGAGAGATGATGCAGAAAAAGGGTTACAATAGGTCATATTTTCCAACAAATGCCCCCCACATCATCATCTCTGACCTGAAATAAATCTGAACGCCAGTATCTTTACAAAATTCAGAACAAAAATAAATAAATATCACAACTCCATTCAATTCAGAAATTTTTAAGAAAAGTTTTCCTTTGGGAACATCTTATCCCATTTTTCAAAATTTTACCATAACAAGAAAGTCCAACATGTTACAAAACAATACAAAGACATATGAATGATCATACATTCAATACATTTACCCAGGGCCCTGGTCAACATCATTACAACATTCTACACTAAACAGTTTTACATTATCTAATACTCATCATAATATGACTTATAACATATTTTTTATTTTCAAAACTAAACAAAACTCTTAATTTAAAATTAAATACACAAAAAACAATTTTTCACAAGAAAATTGCTCCACAAAATCTTATCAAGTTATGTTTAGTTCGCAGTTTTGTCATGGGATCAGCCAGATTATCTTTACTTGGAACATGTTTTAGATAAAAAATTTCCCTGTTCAATAGATCACGAATGAAAAATAGTTTTACATCTATATGGTTTGTCCTTGAGTTTTCAATGGGTGATTTTGTAAAATATATAGCAGCCATGTTATCCGCAAACAATATTGGTTTTGAAACATAGTTACTTGCAATCTTAAACTGAATGCATTCATCCAAAATGTTTTTAAATCAAACTAATTCTTTTGCTGATTCAGTCATGAAGATAAATTCAGCCTCCATAGTAGACATACTCACTCCCCTTTCTTTAAATGTACGCCAAGATTTAGTAAGTTCAAGTTTAAGTAATCTTCCCAGTGAAACTTACCAGGTTTGCTTTGAAACTGAGCAAATATATTAACAGCATAGTCTATATCCGAACGAGTACGATTGCAAAGAAACGAGAGACATCCCAAAACATTTCTATAAAGATAATTCATCATTTCAGTCATTTCTTCTTTTGTACTGGGACTTTGAGACTTTGAGTATTTCACACCTTTAACTATTGGAAGGGAAGTAATTTGTATTTTAAAAGACTTGAATTGATCAACTATGTCTTCTATATATAATTGCTGATGAATCAAAACACTATTGTTCTCGTATTCAAATTCCACACCCAAGAGCTTTTTTCTTGTTTTACCCAAAATTTTCAAATCAAAATGTGAACTTCAGGACTTTTAATAATATCCTTTTAAGCCTGAACTTCACTTTTCCAAACACAACAATGTCATCAATATAAACCAACAGTGACAAAATCTTTAAATCGATAGACACAATTACACCACTCAAACTTGGTAAACCCTCGGTTACATAGTGTTCTATCTAACTCGTAGTACCATAATCGCCCACTCTGATACAGACCATACAAGGCCATATCTAAACGACACACAACAGTTTTTTTATCACGCTCTACAAAACCCTGAGGTTGGGACATGTAAATTTCCTCAGATAAAGGAGCGTAGAGATAGGCACTTTTTACGTCGCACTGTATATTTGCCCATCCAAGGTGTGCAACTAGGAGAAAGAAAAAGAATTAAAATTATTATTACTAAAAAGAAAAAGAGCCTTATTAACTGAAAAGTTGACTACAGAAGAGTAGGTTTTATCATAGGTATCGTATTTAATTTGCCGATAACCCTGAGCCACCAAACGAGCTTTAAAACGAACAATGTTTCCAAATTCGTCACGTTCAATGTTGAACATCCACCTGCAACCTAGTGGAGATCTTGTCTTTAGGAAGTGGAACAAGATGCCATACCTTATGTTTTCGCATGTTGGCCATTTCCTCTTCCATTGCCTGTATCCATTTATGCTTTTCTGTGGATTTCATTGCTTGGTTATAAGTGTTTGGAATTGAAACCTCTAGTCAGCTATCTTGGGTATATGACGTTGAAGGAGCCAGTTGGGTCAATTTCACCACTATAAGTATTGCTTCCCTTGAAATCAAACTAGGTAGGATCATACTGAATATTATGCTCAGTGCAATACCTTTCGACGTCATTTGGTGATCGTAGTCCTTGATTAGACCCCTCTCAAAATAGTACACATTCGGACGAGTGCCGTCTGGCCTTGGAACAGGTTTACAAAGCCAAGTTACCTGTCTCAATGTAGATTGAGTGTGAGTGCTAGGTATAGAAGAGGGTATACTGGTATCAATTCTTTCCTTCTATTTCAGGGAAATAGCCAACTGGAGTATTCAATAGATTGGAACTCGACCCTCTCTTCAAGATTCCAAATCAGGAAGGGTGCCCAGTGCAGCTCCACTGCAACTTCTCTGCATTCCAACTGATTCTTTAAAAGTAGCATTTAGGGTTTCTACTACTTTTTGTTCATTTTCCAACCAAATTTTGTACTCTTTTGTTTTTACACTGTGTCCTATTAATCGGACCTTCGTTGCCTTTGGATCAATCTTAGAGTTTCTTTTAGCTTTTGGAATTCCCACATAGGCAACTGTTCCGAATGCCTTAAGGGGACGCACTGATGGTTTCCGCTTAGTATACGATTCGAATGGGGTTTTATCTTTACCTTTATGACAAATTCTGTTAAATGAATATGTAAAATACATTACTGTATCTGACTGATTCAGGACTTGTACCACTATCATGTAAAATAGCAGGTACATTGTTGAAAGCTGTCTGATTAAATCTCTCACAAACTCCATTTTGTTCTGGAGTATATGTATCTGTAAATTCATGCCGTACTCCACTTTTATTACAGTATCTCCTGAATTGTTCATTGTCATATTCTCGTACATTGTCAGTTTTAAAATATTTCAATTTAAGGTTCAGAGATCTTTCAGCACGTGCTATATGCCTTTCAAAGACTTCAAATACGTGATTTTTCTCTACAATGGGGTACACTACCACATAACGAGAATAATTCGTCAATAAAGGAAACAAAATAACGTTCACTATTCCTACCTGGAATGTTAATAGGTCCCCATACGTCAGAAAAAACCCTTTCAAGCAGTTTCTTCACTCTGAATACCTTCTAAGGTCTATAGGAGATTCGTCTTTGCTTATTGATTTGCAATGTTCACA